CTCATTAAATTTATAAAAGTGTAATTGATATTTAATGTCATTAAGTGAAATATTTCTTTTTATAAAAGCGTAATTTATTTAGGAAAACATTCATTTAGAAAAGAGTGACCATTTATTTGTAAGAAGTGACTTAAAGAACAAGATTTTGAATTAAGAAAAAGAGAAGGTCGCAGGTTTGAGTTCCGGGAACTAAAACGTTTAGGAATAAACAACATGTAATTGTGCTTCATTCATGTAAGACAATAAACATGACTTAGAACAAAGCCACTCATATCATTTTATTACCAGCCTTAAACACGTGATTTGCAACTACTAATGCTCAACTCAGAAAACATGGAAACTTGTAGTAAAAAATTACATTCTTTTAAGATCTTTCAACGAAACAAACCTACATTGAGTTATATGGAAATACAAAAACCCCTCATGGCCAGTTTGATTGCAAAGGAAACGTACCCCAAGTATTAATTTAAGTATGAACTGTGTTCTGAAACAGCCAGGATCATTGAGTAACACATACGGCCAGCTTCGGCCGATAGCCTATAAACAAGTGTCGCAACAATATGACACAACTGTTTGCCTCCTAATCCAGAAATAAATCAAGTCTAGTTAGATTCAAACAACATTACCATGCATGAGATTTATTTTCTCGCAAATAATTTGTGCATTCACGAAAAGAAACATTTTCGCGTGAATAGCATACGCAATGACAACAAAACATATTCTCACTCTAAGCAACACTTATCCGATTATCGGTAGTTTTGTGGCAATAATTACAACAATATTGCCCCCTGGCTAAACGTGTGAGGTTTTCCTCTAATGCGCAAAAGCGGGTTAGTCCCCTCAAAAAATTCTCCCCGAAGGCAAATTTCTCCCAATATTTGATCCAGGAGTTCCCTTGTCTTCCCGGACAGGGCTCAAAATTATAAGGCTAAGGAGTTCAACATTAGTAGTAGTTAACCCAAATTGGGTCGACTATTGAACAACGGTTAAAAAATAAAATTAAAAAAATTTTACATTTCGTACGTGTTTAAGGCATTTCAAAGCATCGTCTTTTCCGTAGACTAATTTTAGCTCGATTTCGCATTTCGTTCTAGTATTTAATTACTATTATTAATATATAAAAAAATAATACTAAAAAATGTTTTGTTTTCTTATGACACTTTCGTAATCAGGTAGATTTCTGAATGTCCCTTACATAATACTGTATGGTAAAACTAGGAAATTTTGCTAATGGCAGGGGGCATTTGTATTCTTAACAGCTTTTAAAAATACGAAATAATTAAAATGATTTGATATTATAAATATAAGGCATTTTTTGAAGCATTTCTAAGAATGTGGTTAAATATTACAGATTTCACTTCTAAAATAAAAATAGAAAGAAAAAAAAAGACAAGCGTAAAATAACGTAATTTTCAGAATATTATAATCTTTTCAAAATAATTCCATATTTATTGAAACTGGAAATAAAATGCGCATAAGTACCCTTTAGACAAGAAGAAAATGGCTCTTGGGTGGAGACTCCTAAACATTTTTGTGTCCATTTGTTATAATTAGTCGCCTTGTGTCTGGTGGCGACAGTTGATTTTGATTCGTAAGTTTAATTCAAAATTTTGTTAATTTTTATTTTATGAATACCAAGAGGAAACATTGTTCCCTCAGAGCAATGAAGAATAACAAGACAGCTATCAATGTAAAGTTTACTGGTTTTAAAAAAAAAAGCAGTAAAATATCATATTTTTGTCCCCTAAACCATAAAAAAAAAGTTTCATTTGGCAACGAGACAACAAACTAATAAAAAAATCGTTCACCTCTGAAAATACAATGTTTGGAAGTACATCTTTTAGAAACAAACGCTCCCTACACAATCAGCCTTTTTTTTCCCATAAAGTACTCAAAAATAAAAGTAGATCACACTGAATAACTTTTGGTCTAATGATCGGTATGCTGATTAATTAGCGCAGACGATATTTTTCCAAAATCAGACAAAAAAACGTGCTTTCTCCGAATAAACATAATTTTTTTTTTTTGGCAAAAACAAAACTTGAGCAAAATTGGTCGAATAGTTTTGAAAAATCTAATTTTAAAGATACGACTTTCGCAAAATATTGTTTTTTAGAAACTACTTGTCCGATTTCGTTTAAATTTTTAATTCTGTCATCTAAAATTGCATTCTATAAAATGATATAAAAACTGTATACGTAACTTTTTTGATCAGTATAAAATAAAATAATAAAAAATAATAAATACTCAAATACTCACGAAAATTTTTTTCTTGCATAGAACAATAAAAAATAATAAATACTCAAATACTCACGAAAATTTTTTTCTTGCATAGAACTATCTTCGGATAAGCAAATTTTATAATTGTGTTCAAGAATTTTTCAATTCACTTAAAAAGTTCGAGATTACGAAATACGGAGAAAAAAAAATTTCATTAAGGGGACCAAATATTGATCCACTGTCCTGATCAAACTATGGGGACCCTATTTCCGAGATTGAGGCTACACCCCCCATATCTTGGGGGTCAGAAACCCGAATCCGTAAAAAAAAGATATGTTTATTTAGAGAAAGTATGTTCTTGTGCCTGATTTCATAACTTAAAATATCGTCTGCACTAATTAACATATTTGAGATCATGCCCGCGAATCATTAAAATTGAGTCTTAGAACGCCATGATCCGATTAGATCAAAAGTATTGAGTCCGTTTATCTATTTTGCGCACTGTACATCCAATGCAACAGAAGTCGCCATTCTTCTGTAGATTACTGTTTACTTTATTAATTATAATAGACTTCATAACTCTATACGAAAAAGATAAAGCTCCTTATACATTTCTAATGTATAATCCACATAAATCTTTTTTTAATTACTGATTTTATTTTTTTATCCACGAAGAATTTAAATTTAAGAAAAAAAAATTATGTGAAGCTTAATTTTTATTGCAATTTTTGAATATATTGCAATGTTTGAATAAATTGCCCTCTTTCATGGTGCTTTAAATTATAATACAATAAGCTAAATTTAAAATTTAAATTTTATAATTAAACTGATTGAAATTGAATTGATTAAATTTAAGAAAAAGTGCTCGCTTTCAATGCAGTGTAGTTCGGGAAAAAATACATAAATCAAACCAATAATCATATTTAATCAAAGTTTTCAAGTTTCTAATTAAATTGATTTAAAGTCTATTGATTAATTTTAAGAAATGGTGTTTTATTTCAATACAGTAGCTTGAAAAACAATTTTTAAATCAAACCAATAAGCATTTTTTCATCAAAGCTTTCAAGTTTATAATTAAATTGGTTGAAATTTAATTAACTAATAATAAGAAGGTGTTCTCTTTCAATTCAGTATTGCAAGGAGAAAATATATAAATCAAACCAATAAGCATATTTTAATCAAAGTTTTCAAGCTTGTACTCATATAGAACATGAACTATCAAGTTTTGTATGGATATGATTCTTTGAATAATAGAAATTTTATAAAATTTTGTTGTTTTTAAAATTATATTCATTGAAAATATTTTCCAGTAAATGTATAAATAAAGTTTGAATATGCATGTCAATTTTAAAAGATTTTTATTAGACTTGAAACTTTTTTACTTGTTTATATATTTGTGCTATTGGAAGAAAAAAATACAGTTAAATACAACTTTTACTTGGATACTACTATTTTTATCAATATTGAATTAAATGTTTATGTTGAAAGCTTTGATTATGTGTCTTCTTAAAATTTAAATATGTTTGACACGTAAGATTTTCAATGCCTACTGCACTGAGAAAAAAAATTACTATATCTGTAAGTAGCGCTCACATTATTTTGTCTTCTTGTTGAATGGATTAAAACTTTTTCCTTCTAAGACTTACTTCAACAACGAGCTCAATTATTGTTTAAAATATTTTAGTAAAACAAAATTGATTTTCCGTTGCATTAAACGCATTATACTATACAAAACTCATTCCTCAATTTTTTCAAGTAATTTTAAAATTTAGTTTTAAAAAAGAAATTTTAATTTAAAAAAAACTTAACTAAAACTCTTTCTTCAATTTTTTTTCAAACTATTTTTAAATTTAGAGTAAAAAATAATTCATAGTTTGTAAAACAAATTTAATTTCATCAAAATGATCCTTATGTACTAAATTTAAAAAAAAAATCCAAAACCACAACATTAAAACGTTTGATTTTTTTTAAAAAGCAATTTTTTTAACTTGCTTAAATTTAATTTCTTATTTATCATATAATGTTAGAGATACAAAAAGATCATGACTTATAAAAATATTATTTATCTGCATTCATACCTATAGCATAATTCAAAATTAAACTCATTGTCTACTAAGTCCCGAACTAGAATCATATTATGAAATGTTCAGATTTCTGGTCATTTGGAATCATATTATTAACAATCAATTTCATTCTATAGGTAACTGTTACTAGATTATGCAAGAAATCAAAAATTTCCTCTTATGCATGAATTAAATAAATTGGATTTAAAAATTTTTCATTTACTTAAAGGGTCTTTGATGCTTGTTATGTAAATTAGTTGAAATTGTTTGGAGTATTTTCAGCATAAAAATTACAATGTTCCGTGTTATTGGCACAACATTCGTGTACTGTTTAATAATAAATTTTACCTAATAAACTTGAAACTAAAGTGTAAAAATGAATTAAGAATTTTAAGTATCAATAAGATTAAATAAGTAAAAAATTAAAATAATTTATAGTTTTTTACAAAATACATTTAAAATTTAATATTTGAAACAGCAATCATCATGGCTTACCTTAATTTTTGCTTGAAGTTAAAAAATTTTAACGTTATTTGTTATTGGGACAACATTCGTATATTGTTTGAAAAAAAATTTCAACTCATAAACTTAAGACTGAAGTTTAAAAAATATTTAAGAATCAGTGAGATTAAATAAGTTATAAATTTAAATAACTTATAATTTTTTATACAATACATTTAAAAGCTAATATTTGAGACAGCAAACAGAATGGCTTACCTTCATTTTTGTTTGAAGTACCCGCAGATGAAATTAGAAACAGAAAAACTAATAATCTGAAGAAATCCCACAAAATCCAGTTGATATCACACTTCATGCCTTTCCAAAGCACCCCACTAAGCACCAATAATAATCCACCGGGTACTTAATCACCAAAAACTGTGCTTATATAATACAAGTCGCACACATATACAAAACAGTCCAATCAGTATAAAATAAAAAGAAATTCCTTCACACAAATGTTTTCCTTCCAAATATAAATTAAGTGAAAAAATTTTACGCTGCAATTAAAATATTGGCGAGAAATGATATGTTAGAGTCTGCGGTTTGAGAGTCTATCGCTAACATGCCTAGTTTGTGTTTTGGAAGAAGGAAGTGATATTGGCAAGGAATAAAAATAAGATTGAGGAACAGGTAGGTAGAACAGAACCTTTTGGCGACCTGACTACAACTGAATGGAGAAAAAAAAAGTTTGTTTCGCTTTGTGACATCATCGTTAAATTTTGTGACGTCACACTGGACTGCGAAACATCACTATTCTTTCCTCATACTTTGCTAATGCCGTGGAATAACCATTCATAAGCGTTTCCATTTCCCAAGGAAAATGATCACGTGATTTGGGTGCTATGAATTAATTTTTTAATGATAATTTTATTTAATGAAATATGTAGATAATAACCTCGTAATATTTTTGAAATGCGCGTTTTGTTTGAATATGTAAGATTATTTTATGGCAAAATGTATCATCTATCAACAAAGAATTGCTCTAAGTTTTTTTTTTCTTCACAAAATGTAAATTGTGAAAAAACATTCAGAACACACTCACTTAATTAAATCATATATTCCTGTAATTCTTAATGTGCTCTCAAATATTATTTTATGATTTTTTTGCATGCATAATTCCTTATTTATTTCAATAAAAAAGCATTAGCGGACAGATTACCCTCTACAAATATTCCTTAATGATGGATTTTCTTCATTTCTATCAAATTTCTTAATTCCCGCCATTTTCTGATTCTTTTCAGCTCAAAGTCTTTTTCTGTACAACCGAATTCAAAGGAAATAACATTTACAGTGAAATATCCTACTGACATTTACATATCATTTGCATAGTTATATATCCTACTGATTGTATATCCTCTTCATGAATGCATATCATGAATGCAGTTATATATCGTACTGAAATGTGTATATCCTCCGCATAATTGAATACCCTATTGTGATTTATATATTCTCTGCTTAGTTGTATATGAGGGGCGATAGCCTGGTTCGTAGGGCATTGGACCCGTGTCCAAGAGGTTGTGAGTTCTATCCCCGCCTGTGAGTTCTATCTGTCGGAGTCACAAAGTCCTCCAAGTTCTCATAACAAATCAATACTGGTAACAGGATCGGAGATTGATCATGCCCTTTCTCAGATCAAAATTACGATTGGAGTGTGAATGTGTCCTCTTTGTAAAACTGGTTGTGACGTATGCGTGTGGAAGATGTCGAATTCCTGGCCTTAGATAGCTCCACTGGAAAATAAGAAGAAGCGCACCCTTCTACCTTAAAATAGGCTTATTAGTATTGGCAAGTGGCATAAGACAACAACATAGTTGTATATCCTATAGAGATTTGTATGTCCCTTGTATAGCTGTATATCCTACTCAGATTTGCTTTGACTTACGCTAAAAACTAAAAGTTACCATTTTTATATAATAATTAAATAAATAATTAAGTTTAATTGTTTAATAAAATGAATTAATTGAATAATTAATTGAATATTTTAGTAAAAAACATAGCATTTATGAGTGTACTTTCTTTTAAGCTTCATCTATTAAAAGCTCGGGTATTAAAAGAATATTCATGTATATGGATAAAATTTAAAAAAAATGTTTTTGAATATAAACATACACATTATTTTTAACGCAAATACCAATTATGTATTAACTTGATTTTTTTTTTTCTAAATCTGAATTTAAGAGAGTTGAAAGCAGATTTCTTTTCCATCAAAAGCTAAAAAAGTTATTAAGTGTTAAATTTAAAAAAAAAATGAAATACAAAGAATTAGTTATTGTTCAAAATTTGTAAGGGTATTGCTTTGTTTTAAAGTTTTGTTAAATCAAGGTTCATTTTATAATATCTAATTAAATAAAAAGTCTTTAAATCAATGGATAGAAGAAAGAAATAAGAGTTTCAAACTAAGATCAATCTTAAGAAGATTTTTTTTCTTACCAACCCATTTATTTCATGACCGGCATTGAACAGTCGACTCAACTCTGAGTTCACCACTACTAATGTTCAATTCCGTAGACTTGTAATTTTAAACCCAACCCAGAATACAAGGGAACTTCTGAATCAAGCATTTGGTGGAACTAGCCTTCTTGATGGAACTAACACACATTTCCGTTACATGGAGAGAAAAAATTCCTGCGGTTATCCTGACGGCAAGGGGATTCTAACCCATGATCCATCTACCGCAGATAATATTTTACATTAGCAATGTGGTCGGTGCAAACTGGAAGCAGAATTCGTATCAATCAGCCACCACTGGGATTCTAACCTGAACGTTCTCTTCCTTCAGCCACCACCAGTTCAATTATTATTTGCTTCACAGTCAGCGAATCTCAAATTGTGATTTTAAAAGAATCAAACTATATATAAAAAAACATTGTACGCCACATTTTACAACTGTTTGGGACAGTGTTTTTTAGCAATGTATTGATGGATAAAAATGCAACTATCCCAATAATTTCGTAAGTACCTATGTGCAAACAGTACTAATTAACAATTTTATGTAAAAATGAGACCTATATGTAATAGGACAATTTGTGGCCCTATTTCTATTATTGTTATTGCTTTCAAAGATTGATATATAATAAATATTTGATAGTTTTATACAGAAACAAAGAAGAGTTTTGTCGTCGGCCTTCTGAGTCCAAGTCTGCGGGTTCGATCCCCGGCCCAGACACCGGATTTTCGGGATAAAGAAAATCCTCAGCCACCATGTAGTATGATTATGCGGCATGTAAAAGATCCATGGAGTGCCTTATTGTCTCTTGGCATTTTCGGCAAAATTAAATTCCTAGTGCACTTTAGCATCCACATAAGAGTCTCTGTGCTGCCATCTAGTGTGGCAGAAACTAGACGTCCAAATTAACATGGCCAACGGTATCTCACCCATTGTGGTGGTCCTGAAAAGGTGGATACCACTTTTGGAGAATGCACTAGGTCTGCTCATGTATGCGCACTTGTGCAGCTCATTGGAAAAAGAAAAAAAAGAAGATTACGTGTAACGAGCTTATTTGGTTTGCTTTTTAGCCACTGGGTTACGTGGTCATCATTAGTAATCGATGGATATTATTATAAAAATACCGAATTTCAGTACATTAGGTATAACACAAATGTAGGGAATACCCAGCAGTTGCACTTAACTTTAAAAAAAATAATAGTTTAGGTATTGGATACCGGACTGGGCAATAGAAATTGTCCTTAATAAATCAAGGTAAGGAATGCTTTTATCACTAAAAAAACATTAGATAGGGTAAAAATATGCACTCGGATAGGGTAAAAATATGCACTCCCCTCTGCTGGTGGGGTAACATATGCTCCAATAAAAGTGTCAGTCAATTTAGTTTAAAATTAACAAAACGTATTCATCCGTGTGAACGTGTGGCACAACGGTCAGGCTCTTCGAATTTTTACCAGAAAGGTTGGGAGTTCTATTCTTATCTGTCATATTTGAATTTTATCTCTAAATTTTACCTTCCAAAAAGTGTGGATAGCTACTTAATATGTTTTGCTAACTTTATAAGTTATTTTTCTGAATTTAATTCTTTTGTTTTAAATTATTTTCCTTTAAATAAAAAATTAAAAAAAAGCAATATCAATTTTTTTTGTAATTTTTAATCAAAGTATATGGACTATTTTTTTTCTACAAAAAATTTAATTTAAATCTTTTAATGAACTACCAGATTTTTTTTGTAATAATTAATGTATATTTCTATTAAGTTTAACTATAAAAATAGAAACGAAAGTATATTATTACGCAGAAGAAAAATGAAAGAAAAAAAAAAAATTTAAAAGAAATATTTATTACTGAACTGAAACATCTTGTGCCTCACTCTACTTTTTATCTTTTTTCTTTACGTGTAATCTTAATCAAAATGTATTACCAAATAAATTTGCGTTTTCAATTAAGCCATTTTCTAGTTAAATAATAAATAGTCAAGTAATCTTTGTTTTTGTCTTTTTTAACAAGTACAGCAATGTATCATTTTTTTACAATAATAACACAAATTATTGATTAGTAAAATAATCAGTAAGTTCATCAAAAATTTTTAATTACATTTTTTTTAAAAATTCAATTTTTTTTAAAAAAGAATTAATTTAAATTTAAAAAATGATTATTTTTAAATTGAATAAGACATACTAATTAGTTATCCACAGTTTTAAAAAGGTAATTTAGAGATTGCCCTCTACCTTATACAGGGTTATTCATAATTCCCTCCAGGGTTTCGAAGCGTTATAGTAAAAAAACGAAGACGAATATTGCAAAAAAGAACATATGAAATTATTCCGAAGGTATTCAAGTTTTAATTTAAGCAGTTGCCGGTAGATGGCAGTAACATGTTCCACTGAAGCCAGTTGTAGTAAAGAAAATGGCGTTTACAGGCGGAGGGAATTATGAATAACCCTGTATAAAATGTATCGGAAAAAGGCGGAAATGCTAACCGGTGTGCCCTACATCCACATGAACAGAGAATTCCTGTGAATTTAAAAGTAATTTTACCATAACATTTATGGGACATATTTTACTCCAAGGGCAGAAATGGCAGCTAATTTTATCCTTATCCTAGGTTTTCAACCATGCTTTTTAATTTAAGCTTAATTTTGTTTGTCTGAATAGGAATTTTACCGATGCGTACTTTCCACGTCAGTATCGTCTTTTTTTACTGCTGTACCATAGAACTCTACATTTAAGTCCTTTAACAAAAGAGGCATAATTTAACAACATAATTAGCAATTATACAATCAGCACGTGCACAGTTTATAAAGTTATTGTGTGTTGGGAAAATTCCGCCTTTTTTCTTTTACTTTTTAGAATTTTATTTCAAAGTAATTAAAAATTTTGATTAAAAGCTTATTTTTTTATAATTTCGTTTCTTCGATGTACTCTGTCATTAACAACAAAAATATAAATTTATAATTAATAGATAGACTTAAGTTCTATCGAATCAAGACCGAATTACTAAGTTCCAAATCTCAAAAGATTAAGACAATTGAATACATATTTCGTTTCATGATAAAAAGAATTAGTACAACTATAAAACTGGCAATTTCAATGCAGGATATTGCATAATATTCTGGCTTAATTCTTTTTTAACTACTTTCAAATGCGAAAGAATAAAGCAGTGTCATTAATTAAATCTGAGGAAAATTTCGTAAAGACTTAATTATTGTGATAACATTTTATCAATATTTATTTAGTGAAT